CCATATTTCTTCCCCCTCCTCTTTACAGGCAAAGAAACTAGGGAGGGTCCCTCCTGAAATGATTCCCATGCCCCTTTTCAATCTGTGGGCTCAGCTGCCTCTTATCAGACTGATGTCTAGTCTGTGTCTCTTCCTTCTGTCTCCCAAGGCCATTCCCACATCTCATTACAGGAGCAGAATTTCGCAAATCTGAAACTACCTCTCTCCAATCCTCACCTTTACAGCCTAAGAAACTAGGGAGGGTCCCTTCTGAGATGCTTCCCATGTCCCCTTTTCCTTCTGTGGGCTCAGCTGCCTCTTATCAGACTGATGTCTAGTCTGTGTCTCTTCCTTCTGTCTCCCAAGGCCATTCCCACATCCCATTACAGGAGCAGAATTTCGCAAATCTGAAACTACCTCTCTCCAATCCTCACCTTTACAGCCTAAGAAACTAGGGAGGGTCCCTTCTGAGATGCTTCCCATGCCCTTTTTCCTTCTCTGGGCTCAGCTGCCTCTTATCAGACTGATGTCTAGTCTGTGTCTCTTCCTTCTGTCTCCCAAGGCCATTCCCACATCCCATTACAGGAGCAGAATTTTGCAAATCTGAAACTACCTCTCTCCAATCCTCACCTTTACAGCCCAAGATACTAGGGAGGGTCCCTTCTGAGATGCTTCCCACGCCCCCTTTTCTTCTGGGGGGGTCTCAGTTTCCCTCACCAAGATAAAGCTGCTTTTCCTCCCAACGTCGCCCTCCTGGGACTCCTTCCTCCGGACCGAAAGCATCCTCTCCAATTTCCGGCGTCGGGTGAGTCCGCCTTCCTGGCTGGCGGGCTGCAAGGCACTACTCGCTTCCCTCAAGCGGGAGAAAAGGAGAGCAGCCAGCTCGCTGTCCACGTCGGCCAGTTTTTTGGCTTGGCACACGTTTCCAGCTGGAAGAGAGGCGCCAAAGGGTGGCAGTCAAGCCAAGCCGCGTCAAACCCAGGTCAGGTTCAATCCGTGATGGTTTTGTTTCAGGCAGCGACGGCGGCTAGGTTAAAATTCACACTAATAGTACCCTGCCTGTCTCCCACCCACCCCCACCCCCCAAAAATCAAGGGGAACCTACCCCTGTGAGTGCTGATGGAGACCAAACTGCCACCAGGGAAGCCCCTGGCCCCATCCTGGGAGGAGATGACCCGCCTCTGAGAAGGAGGCAATGAGTGTGACCTCCGTAGCGTCTGTCCACACCGTTGTCCTGCAAGAGAAGGGAACAATGATGGTGAGGGGCGTTAACCTGTTCAGGGATGAGGAAGGGGCTTGCGTAGACCAGGGATGAGGTCTTCTGAACTTCTTCTATCTGGGGTGTGGAAGAGAAGGGTGAGTTAGAAGATAGAACCACCGGTTGGAAAGGACCTTCGAAGTCTTCTAGTTTGACCCATGCTCAAGCAGGAAACATTACACATTTAAGGATAAATGGCTGTCCAGTCTCTTCTTAAAGACTTCAGGTGCCCACAATTTCTGAAGGCCAGCTGTTCCATCCCTCCATCCCTCTACCATGTATCCTATCCTATCCATCGATCTCAGAACCATAGGATCCTAGGGCTAGATGGGACCTTGAAGGTCTTCACGTCCAACTCCCTACTCAAGCAGGAGAGCCTATGAATGTCTAAACTTTTCTGAAGACCTTGAAGAGGTTAGAGTGCCCACAATTTCTGAAGGCAAGCTATTCCATCCCTCCCTCCCTCCATCCATCCACCCTTCCTTCCCTTCTATCCATCCATCCACCTTTCCTTCCCTTCCATCCATCCATCCACCCACCCACCCACTCTTCCTTCCCATCCCTCCCTCCCTCCGTCTGTATCGTATCGTATCGTATCGTATCGTATCTA